GATTACTACTAATCAATATTCAATGATATTTTTAAGAAATCACTTATGGGTGATTGTAATAATTATTTAAATTGATAAAATGAGAGACTTACTGATTTGAGATACATTGGTAATCTATTGGGTTTCAAATAGATAAGGAATTTTTAACGCTATCTATTATTGGTTAAGATTTTTTTCCTTATTATTATTATTGTTATTACTTAGTTCATATAAAATTCTTCCATTATTATAGTATACGTTTAACAATTTTGTAATAATATTACTATTATTAATAATAATGTTATTATTATTATTCTGAATATTAGGTCAAGTCATGGCTTAATCAGACTTATCCTAGTTTTAAGGGTACGGAATTTTATACAAATTAGATTCGAATTCTACAAGAAATTCCTGATCGAAGATTTTATATCTTAATAAAAAAAACATAATCAATTATTTCATTAACATTTTCTTGGTCGGGATTTATAAAGTGCTCATCTACAATTTTCTCATTTTAAACACCACATAAGGAATTAATAAAATTTGTTAATAATCATTTATTATAACATATTGACAACTTAAGTTAAAAAATATATGACGAGAGAAGACAAATAAATATTTTTTCTGATTTTATTATAACTTACATTTGTTTTAACAAAAAAATTTACATATTTTTGTAAACTAAATTCTTAAAATTAAATAGAAAAATAAAAACGTGACTTGCCAAACTATTATTTTGCAAAATCATTATACATACACTCAGCTTATAATTTAAATTGCAGTTGAAGACTTTATTTGTACAGTTGGAAAAATTCTTTTGCGTAGTTCGAAAAAAAAATTTTTGAGAATTTATAAAATATTAGAATTATAAATAGCCACAAACTACAAAAGTACTCCTTTAAAATATAAGTATTTTAATTAATTTGATAATGACATGTTCAAATTTTGAACACAAGAAAAATTTAGTAGAATTATTTTTAGATGATTAAATCAGTGACGTAGCCAGAAATATATTTTTGGTGATTAGGGAGAGAAGAAATATATATTATTTTAATTTCATACAAAATGGCCTATTAAATCTCATTTTCATTTTTATTTTTTTCTTCAAGAATAATTCTTGAATTGCTTAACTAATTATTAAAATACTATTCTTCTATAGTAATTTTATATTTTTTAAAGTACAAAAAATTGAGTGATAATTTATGTACATAATTCATTAAGATCTAAAAAATAACAATTTATGTAGAGTAGATTATCTACCTAAATAAATTAAAGAGAGAGTGGTGTCAGACTTAAAAATATACAGGGTTATTCCTTAACTACGCTTCATGAAACAAATGCTCTAATATTAAAACTAATTATTATTATTTACAATTTTTTTTTTTATTAATGATTCTTTGTTAAGCTGATTTACATATCAAGTATATGCTCCAAGTAAGCGACTGGTTTTAAACAGTTAGACTTAGCTTACAAAACGTAGGGAAACCCTAAAATAATATGCTCTACGTCACCACATCGTCATAATAACATACATTACCGAATATAATGTAATCAATAAATAATGCATACCGCAAATCTACAACAAAAACAAATGAATATAAGAGTACAAGAAATATATAAACATGACAAGTGGTCTTTGAACAAATTCCCCATATTATGGGGTATTTAAAAGCATAAATAAAAAAAAAATTAGAATCTAAAAAATGTATACTATTATTGAACAATTCACCACACGTGCTTATGACACTTAAACACTCTAATATATTTGTATTTAAGTAAAGCGTGTACTTAAATACACATAAAATTTGGCTTAAAACATTATAAATAAATATATACATTACTAGCCCCGAATGACTAATGAACAGGAGGCTCACTCGGTCGACGCCACTAAAATCTTAACAATTTACAAAACTATTATGTAGCGGATACACGTGAAAAATATATAATAAATTGACATAATAAGTTGCAACGCACACAACTAAAATTTACCGCTTCAGACTAAAATCAACACAACCAGTTCCTAGTATGGTTAACTTCCGACAACTTAACCGACGCTTGACCCAGCGGTCCGAAGGTGACACTTCTTTTAGAAGTATCACCTTACTAGCTTTTAGAAGTATGGGTCAACAAATTTAATTAAACTCAGTGCCGGAAGTTACAGAGAAANTACTTCTTTTAGAAGTATCACCTTACTAGCTTTTAGAAGTATCACCTTACTAGCTTTTAGAAGTATGGGTCAACAAATTTAATTAAACTCAGTGCCGGAAGTTACAGAGAAAAAAATTATCACTAGGTGAAAATACATGTGGTCAGCAGTGCAAATGACGTTTAAGATAGGAAAGGAATGGGGTGAGTGTACACACAAATGCCGTCTATGAACCGGTCCGAAGTAGTACACAGCTGACTATCTCGCACCCGCACAAACAAATTACAACACCTTATATGATGATTATGTAGATGATGAACGCCGTTGCAACACGCATTCGACTCAATCAAAACAATTAAAATATAAATACACAAAAATATAAAGAGGTACCTTTATGTAACATTACAAAGAATATTGTTTTTCAATTGAATAAATCTGATGACAAAAAAATTGGGGTTGCCATATAAAAATCAAAAGTTAATTCTAGTTTTAGGTATAAGGTATAATATCAGAATGTGACTTTATCGTGTAAATCAGGTGAACAAAGAAAAAATTTATGTTAAAAAAATTTTTAAAAAATGTTTTTATATTACTTGATATCTAACAAGTGACAATAAAATTGTACGGTTTAACAGAAAAAAAGCTTAATTATTTTTAATAGACGGCAACTTAAAGAGTTGTACATTTATTAATATTATTATTATTAGTGTTACGGACAGATTATTCGTCATTCACCAACATTAACAATTAACAACTACACTTGTACCCGATCAGCACAAACGACCCTACAGCTCAATAATGAGTATAACCTTTCTTAAATTAATTAAAAACATAACGAAGTCAGTCAACATATTACCATGCTTGCGGCAACTTACCATTATTGATCTGATAACTTAACTCGCGTATTATTGTTGTGGTCACTAAATTAAATACTATTATTATTTCGGGCTGTGTACACTGGCCGCCGTCGTTCACCTAACTAGGATACCACCAACATCTCTAGAGATCCAGTCAGGTTATATTTAAATAATATTAAATAGAAATAAATGTTTGTTAGTTGAGAGTCTATATTTATTTGGTCACAAAACCGCTAACTGCCTTTTTATCAATTATATAGGGCCAGCGTTGCCTCGTTTAGGTACATCTTAGCCAACTGTTAGGACCCTAGCGGGAAAGCACGTTGCATTAGTATTAATTATATTTTTATATATCAATAGCGTTTATTGATATAAAATATGATAATACTGTGGTTTTTAAAAATAAATATGATTTTTCTCTGATGGTTCTTAAAATTTAAACAGCTGTAAACTCGTAAAGAATCAAATAATATAAAGACATTTTTTAAACGAAAATTGTTATTCAATTGAATAAATCTGATGACATATAAAAATTGGGATTGCCATTTAAAAATCGAAAAATGATACAAGTTTTGGGTATAAGGCATAATAACAGAATATGATTTTTTCGTGTAAATCAGGTGAACAAAGAAAAAATAATGATAAAAAAATAATAATAATTAGCTTTTATATTTTAGAAGATGAAGCGAAGTTATGGGAATCACTCTATATGTATTAAGATTTACTTTTATGTTAAATATATTATTGTGTATGTAAATCGATATTAAGGAACTTTAATAAAATGATTTTACAAAATGATAGTTTGGCAAGTCATTAATCCTTCAATTACCTCTATACTATGATACTATTGTGTTCATGGGGGTCTGAATCCGGAGACCCCTCTGGTTGCTCCATCGTATTTTCTTGTTTTTTTTAGAATCAATAGTTATATTGATTATAATAAAACCGAAAAAAATATTTATTCGTCTTTTCTATGATCGTAATATTTTTGTAAATGAATTTGTTAAAACAACTTTGGTAAAATTAATAACATGTTAATAGAATAAATAATTGGAAGTGCGTGTTAATTAAATATAATGACGAACTTAATATTTTTCAGTAATTTATCATAAGCTTAGATCGAGTAAAATAAGTAAATAAACTGTTCTGAGAAAATATAATAAAAATACATAATATAATATATTACAGTTTTTTTGTAAAATAAAATACTATACTAAAATCACGTGCTGAAAGAATACGTCACCAAAAAAAAAGTCTCTGATTTACATATTTATGGTAAAACCTATTTGATTTCATTACACGACTTGTTTGCTATCAATAAAATAAGAGTATAATTAATTAAATTATATGAATAACGAACATAAAATTAATAAAGAAATTATTTAAAAACTTTTATTTTCATCTAAAATTTTTGATATTAATAAATTTAAATATAAATTTATATAAGTGAATAATTCAATTATAATTAGAGTTACAAAGATTTACACTTAATACATGAATAACATAATTTATTATCTCTTATAGGGATAGGGAACGTTTTTATGATATTTAGAGTCGAGATCTCCAAGAAAGTCCTGATGCAACATTTTATATCTAAATCCAAAATTGAAATAAAAAACCTTGATACTATAATTAATTATTTCCTGAATATTTTCTTGGGAGGGATTTATAAATTCCTCTTCTACAATATCATCATTATCAACACCACATAAGGAGTTAATAAAATCAATGATAATTCGTTCTCTATAATATTCACCATTGTGTTTATATTTAAGTTTCTTAAGACTATCTTCAAATGTTACTACCTTTAATATTTGCTCAAACTTCTCATCTATTTCAGCTTCACTAAGTTCATCGTTAATTTTGAATTCACTAATCGATTTTTTCAGATTTTCAAGATTATCTAGCACAGCTGTTTTTTCTAAATTAAAAAACTTAAGGGCGTTTATCATATGGTTTATTAGAGGTTTCAATATGATTATACTTTTCCATACGTTTTTTAATCCATTTAATTTGTCTTTGTGGTTAATTAAATTATTCTTATAGTGATTTGCTGCTTTTGAATACTTTTTATAGAGTTGTTCAATAAGACAGACATAAAGTGAATTTAAGATGATACCACTTTGTTTGTATTTCCAATCAAAATCTAAATGTTCTACATAACATACTGAGAAAGTTTCTTCATTTGCATTACGATCATAATAATATATAGTTTCATTTAAATTTTTCCATGCACTAGTACTTATAACTATTTGTAACTCTTTATCAGATGGCAACTCATCGTCAGTTAGCATACTGGAACAGCTTGAATTAGAAAATTGATATAATATAATAATTATTGAGAAAATTAATATTAAATTCATGTTACTTGATTTAATAAAATTGAAACTCGCTAAATGTGTAAAACTTTTCAAAGATTTTAATGAAGTGGATTTAAAATTATACAACTTTTATATATTGTAAGCAGAAACATATAATTATTTTGAGACTAATATTATTAAACTGTAAACAATTTATTTAAGCAAATATGATATTTAATTTGTTTTTGTCAACAAAGAGAAATATTTATTTTAGTACTACTTAAATTATTGTAACATACAGCTGAATAAGTTATATGTTTCCTAAAACAATAAATTTTGCATTTATTTTTCGCGATAAATTATGATTTGAAATAAATATGTAACGCATAATGAAGATATTTAAATCTATTTCTACCTACATAAAATTGTATATTATTTGAAAAATTCATCTATTTATATTTTAATAATTATTGTTTTTGGTTTTATAAATATTTCCTTATTGTATCTTTGAGCTATTTTTATTAATTATTACATTAGTTGTATTATATAATAAAAATTGATCACTTGTGGCTAATTAATTAAGTAAAATTAAAACTATATTAAAAATATTATTAATTTAAAAAAACTAAAAAATATTAAAAATATTATTAAACTCAAAGCCACAAAAAAATTAATGAAAAGTCGCGGATACGTATTTCGGAAACAATGTTACCATTATCAACGCTAAACACATACAAATTAGTTGTATTGTTTAAACTTTAAAATTTAATTCTGATATTTTATTTTATATTCCCCCTCTGTTATTTTTGGATCTGTATATTTTTTGGTTCTTTAGAGCTTATTTTTACGAAAGCTTATAATAAAAAACTTCATGACGCATGACAAAAAATTCTAAAATTATATGTAGTTAAATAATTTTTTTTTTCGTCCATTCGGGGATAAATATACTTATTTATAAATTTTTAAATTGGACAACCTATTTTTAACATTATAATTTGATTGAATAAAAAATTACAAACAACTTCGTTTTTACAATTTTTTTTATACAAGCATTAATTTGTGTTTATAAATTGTTTAAAGATTACGATGTCAAGTAAAAATTCATCATTGATTTGGTTTTATAATATCGGTGTTATTGCAACAATATTATTAGTAAAACCGTTGTTATTCTGATAAATTTTTGCATTTGTTAATACTGAATCTCAGCTCTCCCCGAACTCATTTATTTCTATGATACGTCAAAAGATCACAAATCGTTTCTAGTCGAAGGCATTGCCTCAAAAATTAAAATAATTTCCATCGTGCCACGTAAATAGTGAATTTCTTCAAAAAAATTTCATTTATAAAAATTGATAAATTACGAAATTTTTAAAACTGTTTTTTTCATACTGTTTGAAAAATTAACGAATCAAAATAACTTTTGTTGTATTGAAATTAAGGTGTTCTTTTTTCATTATATATTAATTTTTTGAAAATCTGACACTTTACCTACCCTCAGGAGCAGATTCAATATAGCAACTTTTGCAAAAAAAATGAACTTTTTCAAATTAAGTTTTATATTTTTCAAATTTACTGACACTTTTATATGTATCATAAATTATAACTTATATATTATAATTTAATTAAAAAAAAAAAAATGTTTTCCCCACAACTTATAATCTATATGAAAATTGTTGCCGTAGCAGAAAATATGTTATAATTGTGTTAAAATTTTCGATTTTATATTTTATAATTTTGAGTTTATATTTGTATAACTCTTTGAAAAATGGATTCAAATCTCCTTTCATCCAACATACTTTCTTTTTTAAATATGTAATTTTAAATTTAACATCTCCACATATAATAGGATTATAGAATTTGTTTTTATACCGAATTACTCAGAAAAATCATATCTTATTTAATAATAAAATTAAACACATTTTAATCATCATAGACCAAAATATAATTTGCTAAGCTAATTTTTGCACTTATTTCTAATCTGTAATTAAATTTTTTCTATCACCTCTTTTTTGAGATTATTATAATAAGTAAAACGAGAATTTACATATAAAAATTGATTTTCAATTTGGAATGTTGAAATAATTCATGTAAAATTACGACTCCTAATGTTATGTTTAATTAAAAAATTTTAATTATGTTATATTTTTTGGTCGTTAAAAGTTGATATTTATAAAAGTTTATAATTTAAATAATCGCGAATAATTGATCTAGATGAAAATTTCTTGTAAACCAACTCATAATTAACAAAAAATTATTTTCTGAAAATTTTTGCATCAAGCCCTATTATAATTACTATAATAATAATTCTAAAAATATATAAAAGTATGCAATGTCAATACGTTTTATAACATCTTCATTAAAATTATATAGTAACTGAAAATTAAATAAAAATTAAATTTTAGTTACTATGATTAAAATAATATATTAAAGCTAGTTACTGTCAATAAAGAGAAATACTTATTTTAAACTACATAAATTATTGTTACATACAGCTGAATAATTTTTGTATTCTTAGTATAATAAATTATATGCTTGTTTTTCGCGTGAAATTTAAAATTTGAAATAAATTAATAATTTGGATATTCTGATTTTTGAATATAAATTTTTGTACGTGATTCAATTAATATGAAATAAATGTATTTTTTAGTCATCACCTTACAAAATTGATCAAATAGTATTTATGACATTAGAGTTCAAAAAAATTTAATTTAATTTAAAAAAATTACTTAAAACGGAATCGCATAATGAAAAGACTGAAGGCGTCATTTTATTATACTGAGTAATCAATTTATCATAAACCACTCGAATACCCTCAAAATAAATACAACATTGAAAAAAAAAATATTGGTTTTATTTACGCATCTTTTTCCGTCTTGGTTTAAAAATAAGATAAACTTCCAATGTACTATTCCAAAAGTTATTATCAACTAGTTTTTATAATAAGTAAATCATTTTCTTTGCTATTTAAATAAGTATTTTGCCATTTAAAAAGATAAATTTTACACTCCTGTAAATTATAAGGGATTATATTAAAAAGTAATTAATAACTGATAAATAAATAAATTTATGTATCTAAAAAACCAAACATTTTTTTTCAATATTGTATTTATTTAACATATTAAATCTACACTTACTTTATTTAAATGCAATTAATATTTTCTTTGCGCTACCAAGACTATTTACCAAACTATATAAATAATTATACAGTGTTAACAATTATTTTTATGTTTCTTATTACAGCATGTTAAAACCATTAAAAAACCAAAACCCGGTAATAATAACATTATTGTTCTTGTGGAAAAAAACGATACGGTTTTGTTCACACTACATTAATAATTCGAATGAAACTTCTGGGTAATGACTTTATTTAACTGTATTCTAATGATTGCATCTTAAGCGAAGTCTTGTAAGCAAAAACACAATTAACCGAGTAATTTACATTTTGTATCAAATCACTCGCCAATTGAATCCGCTACTAATGTAAAAAATTCCTGGAAACATGTAGTTTCATCTTAAAAGCTAGTATTTTTAAAAATTTATATTGAACATTCTCAAATTTCGAATGATGGGTTATTTAGTTAGGAAACCAAATAAAAAACCAAACTATGAGTTAGAACAAACCAAAAAGCAACATAAAGATTTTTTGTAATTTTTATTTTTAAATTGTACTATGTTTCTATTTAAAAATCAAGAATTTTTGAAGCTATATTAATAGTAAAATTAATTTGAAAAGTAAATGTCAAATCAAAACTAAAATAGATACCTATGTCTTTAACTGAAGAAACTTTTTATAATTGAATACTTGAAATATGATAATTGTAAATTATTAAACTATTATTATGAACAAAATATATAATATGACATTTATCAATGTTTAAAGGGAGAAAATTTACCATAATCTATTCAATAAATCAATTAAAATTAGCTTGTAAACATTTACAATCATCATAATTGCGGACTTAACTATAAATTTTTGTATCATCAGCAAATAATAAAATCTTAGTGTCATTACCAAAAATAGAAGCAATATATACAAATAAGAAACAACAACAGACGTTATAAGTTTCTTGTTCGCCATTGATTTTATTTTATGTTGCAATTTTTAGAACCTAACTTTCATTTTAGCCAAAATATGTAGACATCATCCAAGAGATGTATATTATCAAGAGGTTGTCTATCACTTTCTTCTCCAATATTTTGATGTACAAGGACCTAACACGATTGAGACCAAGAAGACTGCACCTTTGGGACTCATATGACGCTTCATACGCCCATTATTCTACACGTTACTTACCCCTCTTAATGCTTCTAATAATATACAAGCGGCTTCTAGCTTTTCTGAAAGCTTTTCTTTTCCCGTGGGGTAGGAGAAGAGGAAACCGGTAGACGAATCGGACAGTTGTCGGGTTTTTATTGGCTTTTTATGACCGGCAATCGTTTTTATAACACAACACCACAACAGAGATGGGATTTCCAATTGAAGATGATAACGATTTGTGTTCGCTGTAATATTATAAATTTTTCAAGACATAAAATAAAGTTGTCCGGAAAATGTTTCGATGTGATGTATTTGGGTGATACACTGAAGAAATGATAACACTGTCTATAAATTACCCAATAAATATTTCATAGTAGTATCAATGAGATTATAATAAAAAAAATTCCCATTTAGAGGTAAATTTGTACACTTAATACAAAACAATGTAATTAGCTGAACTAATGTTTTTTAGAGACTTCTTTGGCATTACTAACATTGAAACTACTACATGACCAATAAATATTTGTAATGATAACATATTTAAAATGTTTAATGTTCTTATTTAATTATTATTTTTTTTTTCGAAAATTCAATTATGAATGAAAGCTTATTAAATAATAATTCCTTTAGTACTACCAAAATATTTTGTGCCGCATATTATTTTTCCTCTTTAAATAGTTATTTCCTTATATTATATATACAAGTATAATATTTAGGGATAACCTCGACCTATTTATAAAATATTAATTTTTATCGTATAAAAAATTATTTTTTGATAATGTAATGTCATAATCATTTTAGGATATTTTTATGTAGTATGAAGTATTTATAGTTTTTCTAAATATATTATTAACGAATAAAAACTATAATTATTTCCATAC